GAGACGTGAGCCGAAGTGCCCAGGTGGCTGAGAAGGAACGGCCAGCAGGGTGGAGGAGGAGGAGGAGACGGAGGACGTGGCCAGCAGGCGCTGGGGTCCCACCAGCGTGGGGCAGGGACTGAGAGGCAGGAGGACACGGACTGCACCCCGTCGCCACCTCTGGGCATTTGGGTGGGGCATGGGCGGGTTTGACGTGGGTCTCCCAGGCCTGACCGAGCCTCACACGGACCAAAGCTGCTGCCAAGGGCGGGAGGCTGAGGAGGAGCCAGAGAAAGGCCATGGCACGTGGCCGGGGAGGCGGGCGTGGGGTCTGCCTGAGGGACCCCATTATGTTTTCAGAGCCCACCGATCACAGCCTGCCTGGGCGTGCCCTCCCTATCACGAGTCCTGGAGAAGCAGCCTGGGCGGGCTGACGCCGGGAAGAGCCCCGTGTGTGGGGCCAGCAGTGGACTCGCCCCCGGCCACCCACCCCTGGTGGCAGATCCCTGAGCACGCTGAGCAGGGCTGGATGGCAGGGCCCCTGCGGCCTGGGGTGGGAGCACGGGGTGAGGGTGGAGGTCAAGGTCAACCTGGGCCCTGCCCCCTTTGCATCCCATGTCATCTGCCTGTGCCTTCTTGGTCACTCTCTGGGGAGCTAGAGCCCAAGTGGTCAGGAAGGGGACTAAGGACGTGATGGAGTTTGGATGTGTTGTCCCCTCCAGAACTCATGTGGAAATCTGATCCCCAGTGTGGCAGTGTTGGAAACTGATGGAGTCATGGGGGCGGATCCCTCAGGAACGGATTAATGCTCTCCCTGGGGGAGGGGCAGTAATCAGTGAGTTCTCGCTCTATTATTTCCCTTGAGAGCTCGTTGCTTAAAAAGACCCTGGCACTTCCACTCTCTCTCTTGCTTCCCCTCACCATGTGATCTGCTTGTACCCGCCAGCTGCCTGCCACTGTCCACCATGAGTAGAAGCAGCCTGAGGTCCGTGCCAGATGCAGCTGTCCCAGAATCGTGAGCCAAATAAACCGGGCGCGACACTGAGGATTGCGGTCCGTTGCCAACACGAAAAAAGACAAAAAGGAAAAAAAATAAAAATAAAAAAATAAAAGGGAAGCAGAGTGTAAAGATTTGGAAAATTTGCAGCCTGGCCATGTGGTAGAGAAGCGGAGAGGTGGGGGGAAAATGCAAGGGTGAAGCAGATAAGCTGGTTGTTAAAGACATTATCTTGGCAGTGAGGCAGCCAGATGCTAAGAGCGAAGACAATGAGAGAAAAGCCCTAAAGGCATTTGAGAAGTCTGGAAGGGTGCCCCACCCATCACAGGCCCTGAGGACTAAAAGGACTGGGTTGTCCCAGAGGACAGACCTGGGGCACAGCTGCCCTCAGGAACCTGCTCCCTGCACCCCAGCTGCTCTGGCTAGAACATCCCCAAGTGTGGTTTTTGCAGCAGCTCTGGACAGTAGAAGCCTGATACCTTGGTGGCATCCATGTTGCATTAAGTCTGCAGGCTGACGGGACATGAGAGCAGTGGAGGCGTGGCAACCTCCATCTAGATTGCAGAGGATGTATGGAAAAGCCTGGGAGCCCAGGCAGAGACCTGCAGCAGGGACAGAGCCACTGCAGAGGCCATCTACTAGAGCAATGCCAACAGGAATCTGGGGTCAGAACCCCCACAGTGAGCCCCCACCAGGAAAATTTCTAGTAGAGCCAAGGCAGCAGGGATGCTGCCAGGACCCCAGAACTGCAGGGCCACTGGCAATGTGCAACACAGACCTGGAAATGCCAGTGGGCTGCACCTGGCAGAGCTGTGGGAGTGAGGCTGCCTGATGCTTTTGAGGACCCAGATGCCCCGTTGTGCCCAGGATGCAGGACTTGGAATTAAAGAAGATTATTTTGGAGCTTTAAGACAGAATGTCTGCCCTGCTGGGTTTTGGACTTATTTGGGGCCTGTTTCTCCTTTCTCCTGACCTGTCCTCCCTTTTGGAATGGGAATGTGTACTCAGTGTCTGTTCCACCATTGTTTCTTAGAAGTAGATAAATTTGGCTTTGTTTTTCAGGTTCACAGCTGGAAGGACTTTTGCTTTTGATCTCAGATGAGACTTTGGACTTTTAAGATGATGCTGGAGCAAGCTAAGACTTTTTGGACTATTGAGATGGAATGATTGTATTTTGTATGTGAGAGTGACATGAGTTTTGAGGGACTAGGGGCAGAATGATGGAGTTCGGATGTGTTGTCCCCTCCAAAACTCATGTGGAAACTTGATCCCCAGTGTGGCAGTGTTGGAAACTGATGGAGTCATGGGGGCGGATCCCTCAGGAAGGGATTAATGCTCTCCCTGGGGGAGGAAGGATTAATCAGTGAGTTCTCACTCTATTGGTTACTGCGAGAGCTCGTTGTTTATAGGACCCTGGCATCTCCTCTCTCTCTCTTGCTTCCTCTCACCATGTGATCTGCTTGTACCCGCCAGCTGCCTGCCACTGTCCACCTTGAGTAGAAGCAGCCTGAGGTCCGTGCCAGATGCAGCTGTCCCAGAATCGTGAGCCAAATAAACCTCTTTTCCTTATAAATTACCCAGTTCCAGGTATTCTGTGATAGCAACACAAAACTGACTAAAACAGGAGGGGACCTCCAGAGACAGCCACCCCCCACCGCCTGGCCTGGCCCGGCACAATCCAACCCAGAGAAGGCCCAAATTCAGGAGCACAGTGAGGCCTTGGAGGCCCCAAACAGGAGACAGACAGCACTGCCGTGTGTTCCAGGGGTTTATTGAGGCTCTGTGGGGCGCAGGTGAGAGGGAGGCCAGGGTGGG